AGTGGCTAACTGGCGGACTGATAGTCAGGCTGCAGTGGCTCTTGCTTAAAATGGCCGCAACGGCACTCCGACGTAAATGGGATCCTAGTCAGGTGCTGTTGTGGTGAGCATTGAAGGGCCGGTCTATCCCTTCTTGACTATGCCTTGACATCGGACCCATTTGAATGAGGGAAGAGAAAGTGAGGTAGGTTCATTGCTCGTCTACTCCCACCATGATCCAGCGTACAGCCGCCGTTCCTGCACCAAGCGGTTGTGGAGCATGCGGTCGATTTCGTCGGAATCGACGGTCGAACTATTTGTCTGTCCATTGATCACTCTACAAAACACACACAAGGCGATCGGCGCGATCCGATTTCACCCGTTCGTGGGCAACTTTCCAGCCCACAGCTTTAAATGCAACCTGACGGCTTCAAGCGCCTCAACTTGCGTATAGTGTGAAAAATGCTCTGAGCTTCGACCTGAGTCTCTTTTCACATTCTCAGTCCCATTCACTATCCGAACATTGTAAACCGGCCATATCAATAGGCTAATTTAGCATCTTTCCAATTTTGAGTTATACTACCTTAAGAGTCAAACCATCGTGCTTGATAAGATATTTATAAAGGATTATAATTAATAAATATAGTCAAGGAATACGTTCATTCCATGCGGTTTTTGGTCTCTTGGATACTAAAAGTACACAAATCTCCAAAAACGTTCAAAATTTCGGAATATTCAATAAACTGTAACATTTTTCCTGATTTAATTTATGAGAAAACTGTCCACATTTCTTATTTAGTCAGTTTTTTGCCAACCCATATGTTTAAGTTTTATAAGCGTTAAAATATTATCACGGACAAATATGCACAGGTCGTGAGTTTTTCCCTTAGCATATGAATTTATTAATTTTAGTTTTGCCTACAATTTGAAAATATTGCTGCCAACTAACTTAAGACGTTTTATTTACCGAAGGACACTTCTTTCGGATGGCGATATTTCAGGGGTTCGTGACCATTTATTTGGATCTTATTTATTGCTACAATATTGTCGCCAACTCTATAACGGATGCTAAAATGCAATCGACAGCAAAACATAAAGTGACCATTCTTTTGAGCAAAAATGATTGGCTAGGAGAAAATAAATAGCCTAATAATAAAATTCTTTGATTGACAGCTACGTCTTAGGCTAGAAGTAACGAATTTTAAAACAAAGATAGTTTTTCGTTCGCAAATACAATGACCTCAGCATTTGACAGGGTTTTGCATGAAAAATTATGAAGCAAATATTCTATGGGGAAATATCCTATCAACCATAAGTACACCTCTTAATTATTGTCCCGAAACACAACCAGGCAAATATTTCATTTGCTAACATTTGGCATTTTGCCTAGGGTCTTCTGAAATCCTTATACACAATATGTTTAACTACCAAAATACTCGAAAGCAGAGACTTTTAATACCAACCAAACATCCAAATTACTAATGTTTACTCGGATTTGGCAGGAAACACCAAATAGCCCAAAAGATTTTTCTGCATCTGCATATGTTTATTTAAAAGTTCAGAATAAAAATGTAAGTTGACTTATAGAGGAAGGCGGATAGACGTGTGCAGATCAAGTGCATATGATTTTGTTTCTTAGATATTCTACTTCGTTGAGGGTTGTATTAGAAAAGAAGCGTATATGTGACATTCACAGAACTTCCTGTGAAGTAACAGAAACACGAAAGCAACATTTCAATGAGAATAGAGAAACCACAGTCCAACATTTGAAGGCAAATAAACGTTTTCTTTAATATCGCTTTTTATGCTGTTGGAAGTTGTTTTACAATTTAGCAAAACTTAAGTGAAGTGAGCACCTTAACATGAATAATCTTGAATCAAAATATGTCCAGTTGACAGATGGTAAAAACGTTCTACCAACGACAGCAGTTCATCTTTTAGGTGGTAATGTTTTAGTATGCCAATCTGCGGATTTCTATTCTTTAGACGGTTGCCCTCGCCTTGCAACTGTAAGCCAATGTCGACAGTACGTGGCATCAATGCTATCCAATGGGGCAACTGCCCATGCACAATCCCTTAACCTATTTGCCCTTCTGCAGAACCAATCAAATTACCAATCTGCGTCTGGTGGCGAAACCGGTTCGTGTGGAGCAGCGGTTCAACTAATGTAAACAATTGTCTATAACGTGCAAGTTCGGGACTAATTTTCATTATAAATATGCCCTAATAAACACATAAAAGACGCCTCGGAAATGGATAGTATTTTTAAAGATACCAAAGCTGCTAGGGCCTTATATTTTCCAAAAGAGGACCATGAGCATCTTCTTAACCCAACATTGCCTCAAAGTGACACGTTTAATGCAAGTCCTTCTACCTCCGGAAATCACAGGGATGTGAAAGTTACTTCAAAACAGTTAAATAATGGAATTGCGAAACCGCCCTCAAAACCGACTATGAACGCTGTCATTTCTTTACCGATGCCAGAAGACCGTGCGTTTGACTACTCGTCTTTCAGGTTTCCTCCTCCAAAGCCTCGTCTTGATCCAGCGACGGGTAGAGTGCTCAATGATGTTATCTACGATACCCTCAAGGAAGCTGATTTCCCAGAACGGCGAAAAGCTATGCAGGAAATGTTAAGGGGTGAAACTCCTTTACAAAATTTGGAAGATTGCAAGACTTCAGTAAAAAATGGGATCCCATTTAGTACAGAAGCCGAAACAAAAAAGAAGAAGGAGAAAGATAATGAATCCACAGGCTCGGTACACCATTTTTCACAGGACATTCTGGATGTCAGTGGAGCGCAGGACGGTTCTGTAAACGTAGCATTGCCCGACGAATTACCGAAACTTGATAGGAGGAGTGTCCTCAAGGCCCACTGCCACAAGACGCTTCAGTTCATAAAACATGCACTGACCTTTCTCATCTCGCACATCGGTCTTTCCTGTTTGGTTGTTGGTTATACCATTCTCGGAGCCTTGATGTTCTGTGCGGTTGAGCGCGATGCCGAACGCAGGGTTAAGGAGGACATGATGCAGCGGCTAAATAGCACAGTACAGGACCTGATGGAAGTTTGGTTGGCTAGTTACTATAAAGTTAAGGAGGAGCTTGAAATGATCCACAGCCTGGTTAAGGAGTCTAGAACGGCTTCGAATACGAGCATGGAGTTTCCACAAACGCCTTCCATTGGCCCATTTTTGCAAGGTCTTGAGTGGTATGTACATGGATTAGAACTTTCAAAGGGAGTAATACCAAGACACTGGATTGATGATATTAGTTCCGAGAACTCAACGGACACTCTGACGGACACATTCATGCAATCAAACACTACACCGTCCGCTGGGATTTTGGGGAGTACAGTTGCATCAACCTTTCTGCCCACAAACGAACCTTATGAAAACCTTCGGAATTACCTGGAACAGGACACAAATTCTTCAATGCTAAACATTACTTTATTAGCGGAGATGGTTAGGAAGAATACCAGTGACATAATACTAAATTACCTCGGACAGGTAGTTCATGCAATAAAAGACAGAGGGTGGAATGGAGCTACGAACGTGGAGGAGATAAACTGGACTTTCGAAGGCGGAGTCCTATTCGCAATTACTGTGATAACAACAATAGGTAAGTCAAATGCTGGTCGCAAGCTAGTGAAGTCAACCGATTGCGTAGGCCGATTGAAATTCCCTTCTTTCCATTCTGATGCGCTCTACTTATTAAGCACTGATAGATTCGTAGGACAAACTTTACATTAGGTCCTTTTTTATATGAAAATTCCAGAGTAGGCTTAAAATAACCTCAAAGCGTTAAGTGTTTTGCTGGTATTTGCGTCTGCTTTAAATGAGAAGCTAGGTATGTTTTTTTTTATCTTTGCAAGTTTTGCACTTGCCACAAGCATAAGAAATTCATGTTTGAACTACATTGTCTTAGTCAACGGCACTATTCCTCAACGTGACTAATGTAAGAACAACACGTAAGCCATAACAATATGTGGCCTTATTTGCCAAAGTAGCATCATTTCACTTCTCTCTATCATAAAGTACGACATCATGAGGCCTTATATTTTTCGAGCACACAGTTTCTGCATGCAGCCAAGACCAAAAGAACTTGAGCAACAGTTTCAGGCATCTACATAAACAAAAAGATATCTCACATTTTTCCATAGGTATGCATTGGAACAAGGCAAATAACGCAAATTTTTAACGGTTAAATACACCACCCATGCGCTTTTTTCACACGATACGTTATAAGTGATTTGCCATTAAGTCAAGAACCAGATACTTTCTTGTATTCTTTGTAAAAGTCTGTTTTTGCAAGCGGGGCATGCCATGACGTTATCTTTTAAATAAAATAACCAACCTTTAGGATACAATGTAGTGTTTATCTGTAATATAGAAATATTTTTACTTTTAGTACCGTTTTAAAAACAATTTATACTTACATATTACGGGAACCTATCAACGTGAATAACCGTTTCCAATGTGACGGTAAAATTTTCCGCTGCGTAAATCCGGAGACACAAATATAGTGAACAGCATTATCTGAGGTAAAGTTGACCTCTTCTCTTTTTTTAAATGTGCACTTGAAAATCTCCGTGATATAATACCCCGAAAAACCTTACCGACGCATGGGTCAAAATTTACTGTCAGGTGCAGTTATCTTCAAAAATATAAATACCGCATCTATAACTTGGAAAGGACCAAATAGTAAGCAGTAGATTTTAAATTCGGGCATCACTTTTGATTTCTTTTCTGGTAATAAGTAAATTGTAAGCCATCTATATGAAATCGGAAATATGAATACTATTTTAATACTTATATGACGCACAACAATGCAATTTCAATCTTAGAGCAGAATAAATCAGAAGAAAATCGCTATCGACTTATTTCGGTAATCAAGAGGAATGAGAAGGATTTTTGTCGGCATACAAAGTCTCAGAGTTACTTAGAAAGTGTCATGGGCGCCAAACATCTTCAACGGTTGTCTAGAACTTCCCTTTTGATATTAGTAAAGGACATAAGTATGTAGTCCCGTAACGTCGTCATAAAAGTCCAGTTTTGAGTAATCGACATCATTGACCTCCTGCTGTCAGTCTACATTCAGGTTTAATACTAAAGTCAGTAGGAAATTACAAAATCCGTGGCAGTATGGGCGCATAGTCATTAGTTTGAATGGCGCTTACATAAACCATTCGCTGCCGGTCAGACTATCGATTTGAAATTAACTCGAAGTCTTAAGGATTCTTGAATAGTTTGTTTCCAACAAATTAACTATAATTTTTGTAATAAAACTCCAAATAAAACTTCAAAAATCGCATTTCAAGAGACCCTAAACGGTTGGTTAGATCATTATTTGCTGGCATGGCAATGTTAAGAACATTTCACTACAAGAGAGCGGAAAATGTTGGCAAGCAAAATAAATATTTATAACAGATTTTCGATGGTTTCATACAAATGAAGTTAAAAAATGTTTTAGCAGAAGCAAATGGAAGTCAAACAATCGGGTTGAGCGCCTGGATGCAAGTTGGTTTTTCGCTACAATAGTACATTTATTGGCACCTAAAAGGGTGTATATGTGTTCTACACATGAGAAGAATGTTTTGCATTGGTTGGGAAACTTGCTGTGATCATGTTTTTTGTTCAATTACCCAAAGCACAGAGAATTCGATTATATGTTCAATGTGGGCATGAATTTGGGTTTCCTGGTTTCTTTTTATGGGCTTAAATATCGGCCAAAATGGTAGACGACGCTTTGACAGTTAAAAAAACTGCTAGAACTAATCGCTTTCGCGAAACAACTAGCTTATATATCAGAATAGGCTAATTCTATATTGCGGAACAATGGGAGTATAAACGAGTTGAGTTTGGCTTAATAACAGTCTGGGAAAAAAGGCCGCACTATGTGCTTCAAGATATCTCGATTAAAATTGGCTGAAGAGGTCCAGTGTCCATCGCGCATTTAATGAGCTGATATTAGGAATACGTGATGAAATCTAGGATTTAAAGAACGCAAGCTTAGTATTTGGCGGCGGGTTTAGTTGCGTGTAATCAATGCATGTGCTGTTGAATTGGCCTGATGTTTTGAGTGTCAGGTCAAGACAATAATAAAAAATCCAAAGGAAGACTGGGATTGATAAAGCACAAGAGATTGAATATTATGAAAATAAAGGCCTCAAACGTAAGCACTGGTAAAAGGCAAATAGAATTATGTGTGCGAAAAACGTATACCATACTCCTGTCCAGCCTAGAGTTTCACTGATGATTCGTTTGCTGGGTCAGGCAGCAAGGAGGTGTTTGACTTCTCAGTTGGCACCACAGCATCCTTCATACGGTTCCTGCTATGCAACATTCAGGGAATAATATTATATCGATATAATTACATTGTATTTGCATATAAATTATAAAAAGTAAGATGTTATGTTCTTAAACGTAATCTGTCACTTCACGAGAGTCAAATATTCACTTCTATCAAACATTTAATCAATAGGATTTTCTACGTAAAATTTCTTTTAAATGTTGTTAATCCGCTTATTTATTACACTTGTAAACACCTAAAAGAAGCCGCACTCGTTATACCTCCGCCATCTCTCGATAGAATTCTCAACATTGACATTATGGTTGGAAACTTGTTCTGCCCCTGAGAAGGAGAATATATATGCGAAACATTAGGTTTTGTTTAGCTATGCAAGCGATAAAACTGTATGAGAACAATATTCAGAGCATACTTGCTTGTTTGCACCCGATTACCTTTATTTCATTTCACACAAAACTAGCTAGGCGCCTGTCAGAAGATTGAGTAAGACTGGCTTATAAATCTAACTATATAAACAGCGATAGAAGTTATAGTGCTAAGTGATAGACCTCACAGAGTTCTGGGATAATAAAATTGTGTTCGCCAGCGCCACATACTTTATTTCCTAGTCTTTAGCAAATGAGCAATATTGATTGACGTCTTTACGTGGGTCTGCATACGTTGCCCGTTTTATTAACAAACCTACTTGTTGTTTTACTTATTTATTGTACAAGGATGATCGAGTGAATTGAAATTGTTATCTAACGGTTACTCTGAGTAAATATTTAATAACTCATTTGCCCTGTATGAGAAAAGAAAATGCGTGTTTGCCTTGTAGTTGATTTGTAGAACTACACGCGATATTTGTGTAGAGATTTTCATCAGGAAATGATCCAGTTAAATACAAGATTGGTTTACTTATACAAATTTCTGCAAATAAGAGGCAAAACTTTCGCTTGGAATTCTATACAGTTCATGTAAAAAAATGCAAGAGTATATCTGAGTGCCGAATGAAGAGTTCTGCTATCGTGGCATTCGAGATTTACAGTAAAACACATGGACAGAAACAGATTCGATCGTTGAGGCAAAAACTATAGGATTCTAATATAAAGCGTCGCTGAAAAATCGAATATCTCTAAGCATTATCGTGCCTTACATTCACCACCAATTGCTGCATGTGGTGTGATGACTGCTTCTTGCGCCACATTCCCTTCGAAAAATACAGCGTCTTAGCCATCAGTTTTAATTATTGGCAGGGCACAAAGTACAGATACGTTAAGGCCGATAAATCCCTCACAATTTCCACTCATTGTCTCTGATTATAATTTCGAGTGTAACTTTGTTCCGGAAGTTGTGTTTTTTTCTCGTCAGCTATGCTATTCCTTTCATACCGGTAACAATTTAGCCTCTGATCTAATTAACATTTTGATAAAAGATGGGGGTTTTGACAGGTTTGAATACATTATCCGAACTTATTGTGAAAAACTCGGCGGCTTCGATGTTATTCGAACCGACGCCAGCCAGGGAAACCTTTAATACACTAAACACTACTGAAAAATCCGAAACGCACACAAAAAGGTGATTATTAATTTGGTCTGAATTATGATATGCGTCTGTTGCATGGTTCTCTAAAAATGCTTGTTATAAATAGGCTCTTTTAGTGTTATATATTAAACGAATAACGTAAAAGGCTTTTGAGGTTTAACTCCAATACAAACCGTCTACAAATTCTGACGTGATGGCAGATTCACTAGTTGTGATGGCACACATGGTCGTGAAAATATGAACATGATAAAAAAGGTTTCTATATGTCATGTAACAGAGCGGACGATGTACTTCCCGGTACGTTGCACTATTGCATGGAGGTAAATAAAACGCAAAGATAAAGGCTAAAGCAAACGAATAACATCAGATTTCCATTTAAATTCTGATAAAACTTTCATTTCTGACCGCACTTTAATTCAACAAAAACCATTTTACATTTGACTCCGGAGGACGTTATGTGTTGTCTCCTCTTTCCATTTCTTCTACTAGACTTGTCCATAAGTTTTTCAAGATATTAAATCGTCTATGTTTATAAAGTCTAGTAGAACCATGCTATTAAAAACACTCAGCTTTTCGTTAAAGCTCTTAAAACGAAATTTTCGAATTCGGGGGCACAGTGAAAGGTATAGAGCAATTATCTTTGTTTCCATAGAAGAACTGACTCTGTCAGCCAGAAAGCAAGAACCGCAAGGTAGTCATGTTTGCTGTGAAAAAGAGGTACACATAAAAACTGTTGAAAAATTAGCAGTTCTAATGCAAACTGCCCTGCAAAGGACTGTCTACAATAAAAGGGAAATAAAAATAATGCAAGATAAGGTTAATACATGTTGGCCTCGAGCCAAGACTTTTATCCCCCATAGTAAAGTTGACGGTCAAATGTTCCAGATGTAGCACTTTGACAACGCAAAAGCTACCATAACTTCTACTTCTTGAATGGCTTCATTTTGACCACTGGAATTGCCATCTCGTTGGAAAAGGTTCAAAAATGACCCGGAGTTCTATACTGATTTCTGCCCAAAGTAGCTATAGTGAAAGTGCGCAGTTCGTTGTCTACGCAGTTTCCTCTGTCAGTTTTTTCTACGATGTCCTGTATTTCAGCCCGAAGCCAATCTTTTTCTTTGATCAGTGATACCTACAGTAAAAAACGAACCTAAACGTATTACATTCAGACTACCATTTAGTTATTTGTTTCGGCCAACCTGTTTCCTTCAGTGAATTACATTAAAACGTTTCAATTAGTTTTAATTTGCAAATACCTGTAGCGGGTATATTTTGGAACACATAGCTATGGTATGTTAATAACGATATAAGGATTTCTAAAATTTGGCTTTTTAAAAAACGTAATATTGCTTTGAGGCTTTAATTCTTAAAACGATTCGCTCCCTTCAGATTCTGTACATCATTTTTACTCGTTCGTTAATCGGCGCGAATTTCTTGGGTTTACAATTAGCAATTCAAAACCTAAGGACGTGACTACAGACAACACTTTACAATGAGGTGCAGACGTCTTTAAGCACAAGAAGACAATATATTCAGTATGCATTTGTTTGAAGTTCTGTCCTTGACAAAAAGCATTGGAACCATTAGTACGTAGCAGTAAAGTGTAATGCTTCCTTAATATGCAAATTCAAACTCTTCTGTACACTCGCTAAACGTCTGGCAATGACCTGGAGAGCCAGCTTTGAAAATGTGCACAAAACATTTTGTTATCGTATCCTAAAGAATTTTCATTGAAATAAACTAATCATAATTAAAAGTGTACGTGAAGATTTTGCAATGACTAGCTGAATTCTAGCTATCTTTGAAATGATATGGAGTAGTTCGTTTTGCCTGTTAGCTGAATCAGCTATCTGACATGCTACTTCAGGTACATAAAATTTACTTCAATTCTCCAAGCGTGGATTGATAGAATCTTTTAAGTGTTCATCATAATTTTGAGATTTATTCCTTTGTCGGATGCCGGATTAAAAACGCAATACCGGTTGGAGTGAAAATAAATCCTCATTTCTGTGAAAAGTTTCTCTTTAAAATGGGGGTCTTAACCTACTAATCTGGAACATGAAAGGAATAGTATCTCATCAAAAGTGCACTGTTGTGGTATTTCATGGTGGAAGCCGATAGTGTTGACAATTTCACAAGAAATAGGCTTAAAAGTAAAAATTTTTATTTATGATTGGACGCAAAAAATCGCACTGAAACAATGAAATCTGTGTTTGATTAGAAAGGATTGCTCATGTGAATTTATGATAACAGGTACTGTACAGCAAAATCGAAACGCATTCCAGGCGTCAGAGGATGCTTTTCTTAGGTTTCTTTTCGGGAGCCTTCGAATATGTTTAGAACTGATTTTAGTGGCCCTAACAGTATGAATAGACTTTATGAGATGGATTCAAAAGCACTGCTTTTGCTCAGTGGCAGAAAGTCACGGTTTTGTACGATAATTACTCTAAAAAGGACTATTGCTCGATATTCAAACGCTCTAATTGCCGAAAACTTTAAATTCGGTCTGTAATTAAACCTGCGCCTAGGTTTTTTAATCTAAAAATAAGGAAAGGCATAAATTTATTTACTCCGTCAAGTTGTCATGTAGGATTATTAATAATTTGTCCATGTTTAATAAGCCATAAATTAGATTAACGGACTTCTGGCCAAACGACGGCGGGTTCGAGCCTCGAGTAGCGCAACACCTGGGATTGTGGATGTCTAACTGATGCCAGCTAGCGATCCAGAACTGCCCGTTCCAGTCGTCCTTGTCCATAACGGCAACGTTATCTTATTAATTTGACTTCAAAAACATCCTTCTAGTTTCGATACCCATTGGTCCTGTGTAGTAATTTCCGACTTCATAATCAATAAAATCATACTTAAGAAACGTGTTCAAAAAGTCGATGTAGCATTCTTTGTTCACACCTTGGTTTTGTGTCCCCTTAGCGACGTGCCAAGAGACGTTTAGCAGTCGTTCTGAGGTTGAAACCAAATGAGAACAAAAGCATCTGTTTTAAAATAGTACGGAGCGTCAGTATTTGATTTCACACAAGGAGCAGCATTTCCGGACTTCATTTCTCGCCCTACGCTTCCAGTATCCTGCAAAATAAAAGTAAATTGACCTAGTATAGTTCCTGTCAACTTCAAATAGACAAGATTGATCGGAAATGCTTGAATCTTAATTGCGTACTTAAGTGATGTTTTAGTAAAGTATCGAGCAGCAGCGATGACTAGCCCTCAGATATATTTCGTTTTTGAGTAAGTTGCAGTCAATGGCCGATTTCATGATAAGCTAAGCTAAATTCAAAAGGGATTTTCTATTCGGAAAGATTACTGAAGTAGTATTAATCTAAGAACAAAATTCTAAAACATTCGGCTGTAGAATCCATGTGTTTTTATTTACCTGTAGAAACCGTTGATAAAGCTGGCTGCCTAGTTAGAGTGCATCTTTCCCATTACCTTTCGAGGCCACTGTAAACTGAAATTTATTTTATAGCAAAGCCCTGCAAAGATATTCTTCTTCTACTAATTGTATAGTTGGCTACGCTTATGATAAGTTTATACTGAATGAAAAGTAGCTTTATTTGTGTGTACAAGTTGCATGCTTTCCAGTTAAGGAATAGCACACATTCTTCTGCGCCTCTAAGAACGATATAGTGCTCATAATTCGTTGCAATTGGAATGGACTACGCCGTGCACTTTGCAAGGACAGTTACCCTTTAAGGTGGGAAGTTATTTGACAGCATCGTAGCCCTCTGAATCCGTATTCCGGGAAGAAATACTTCCAGGAACTAAGGAAATGTCAATATTGAATTGTGGGCCGTAAAAACTGACATTAAAATAAGAGTATTCCAAAGGCGCACTTTACTCAATTCAGGAATGAAGCCACTTTGCAGCAAGCAGTTTAATGAACTACACACATCCACATTGAAGTCATTATTCATAAAGAATGTGAAACAATGGAAGCGTTACCGCGTTGTTTCTTAGACGGTTTAGCAGTTCGGTTAGCTGCTAATTGGAACAAAAAAATAGGCAACTGTATATGCAGTTGTTAATAATGATGTGGTTGTGGTATTAATGTGCGTGCGATGCCTAAAACAAGCTGGATTTTTAGGAAAGTTAGTTATATCCTGTCACTACTTCTGACTCTGTGTTGTTTCTACTTCCTTTCTTTCTCTTCAGGCTACGGTCACGTGACCCCACAGACACAGTATGGAAAGCTTCTTACCATGCTCTATGCAACCATCGGAATTCCACTGTTCTTCAGTTACCTTTCCAAAAATGGCGATGCTATGGCGTCCGTTTTCCGCCTGGCCTACGCTCGAGGTTGTCGACCAGTCTTTCGACTGTTCAAGCGTCGTAACCGGCGGAAGTTGGATCTGCAAAAAAATAATTTAGCGCATTCCATCCAATCACTTGTCTCCCTCATCAATTTGGAGGTGGGCAAGAACCCTCCCGGTAGGACCACCAACGTCAGCGTCAGCAGCACCGGCAGTCCAACGGACTGCAGACTAAAGCGTGTTGTCTCTTATAATGCCCTCGGAGAGTCCTCAGGGAAGCAGTCGAATGTACATCTGCGCCGAAATAAGTCTAGTCTATCAGTTGGCAAAACAAAGAAGGAGGTTGTTGTTGTTAGTGCAGCTGGGTCTCCGGCATTGCCCACTGTCCTGTCACTCAGTGATGCAGGCTTACAGCAACAACCAACTGGCTGCCTCAGTCGGTCGAAAAGCCACCAAGACCACTCAAACGCCTCTTGTAGTAGCCGGAAGAAAAAGAAGAAACCGCAGACAGGACAGGTGGACGCGAAACTGTCGAGGAGCCGTGAAGGAAAAGAGGTGGACCTGGGAAATCTGCAGCAGCAGCAGCAGCT